GAGAAGAGGGTTAGGAGGGAAGGGGGAGGAGGACGAGGAAGAGGAGGAACAGGAACAGCAGAAGAGGGAGGAGGAGGACGAAGAGAATGGGGAAGGAGAAGGAGAGAGACGGGTAGGAGGAGGAGAAGGAGGAGGACGAGGACGAGGAGGACGAATAACCGGAGGAGGAGGGGGAGGAGGAGGAGGAGAAGACGAAGGAGAAAGGAGAGGAGAACGAGGAGGAAAACGAGGAGGAAGCGAAGGAGGAGGAGGAGACCAGATGGTCTCGAGGGCCAGTTCGAAGGCAATTTTAGAGGATGTCTCGAGCGAAACGCTGACTGTTTCACACAAGTGTTAAACAAACATGGTTTTCAATACTTTAGCTTCTAAGGCCATCTTGGAGGTAATCCAAGAGCGCTCCAGAACAAATGCCTTAAAAGAGCTCTTCGCACATCCATGTTGTAAGGATATCTCGAGCGAAACGCAAAGTTTCGAGGTCCAACGATTAGGGCAGCGATTTCAACAGCCCCATTTCCCGAGGATGCCTTAAGCGAGACGCTCATTGTTAGCAGAAGGCGTCGTAAGATACGACTCCCAAGATCACATTTTTTGGAAGGGATGTCTCAAGTGAAACACCCTTCTAAGGGAACCTTTAATGACATGAACGGGAAACGCATGAAAGTGAAGAGTTGTGCAAGAACTTGCAGCATCATCACGGCCAAATGAAATATAGGCGAGCTCTCCGAACGCTCACCAGGGATACGTGTGGACACGCGCCCCCCGAACATTCACAAGCATATTCCTGATGACCCTCCTCACTCCTCCGCTTGGAGAGGACGACGGCGAAGATGACGACCGGGGGAGGAGGGCGAGGAGGAGGAGGGGGAATAGGAGGAGGAGGAAGAGGAGGAGCAGGAGGAGGAGGAGCTGGAGGATGAGGAGCAACAGCAGCAGCAGCAGGAAAAGAGAGTGAGCAGGAAAGAGGGAGGAGGACGAGGAAGAGCAGGAACAGGAGCAGGAGGGGGAGCAGGAGGATGAGGAGGAGGAGGAAGGAGAAGGAGGAAGAAGGGGAGAAGGAGGAGGAGGAGGAGGAGGAGGAGGAGGAGGAGGAAGAGAAGAAGGAGGAGGAGGAGGAGGAGGAGGAGGGGGAGAAGGACACCAGATGGTTTCGAGAGCCAGTTCGAAGGCATTTTCCAGAGGATGTCTCGAGCGAAGCGCTTATTTTTGAACGAAAAATGTTGAAAACCCATGGGCTTGGCAATCATTTCGCTCCTTGGGCCATCTTTGAGGTCATCCAGGAGCGCTCCGAAAAGATGCCTTAAAGAGCTCTCGGCGCATCCCTGTTTTTGATTTCGACATTCGGATGCAAACGACGCACGTGAATTCGCGCCGCCACACCGCGCTCCTGACCTGCGCGACGTCACAATTTGTCAATCCAGTTTTCACATCCAAAATCCTCAGGGCAACCTGAGATCACCGAAATGCGTTGTACTTAAACGGCCTGCAGTAGCCTGCGCAATGGAAATGCGTGCACTGCCCCAGATGAATGCAAATTTCTCCCTGGACCACTGCGCAGTCCCACGCACCGCGTGTGTACATTTCCCGCGGCTGAAGTCACCGGTATTGAATTCATGTGCAATCAGGACTGTGTTTTCATTCGTGTATCCGAAGTCATTGTCCAGACGCTCGAGCGACATTCGCCAGTCAGAGTTCGGAGCCAGATATTGCAATGGAACTCCTGAGTAGTGGCAGCGCCCCTGCTGCTGCCGCAGTTTGTCCAACAAGATATCAATATTCAACTCGCACACGTGTCCTCGCGAAATGGCTCGCCTTCGCGCTGCATTCAATAAGTTCATCATGTTGCCCCGGAGTGTACGGCAATATGTGAATCTGTGTGCTCGCCTGCATCCACGGCAGTGGAGCGATAGATCGGTGCAGGGCTCTGCGCGCCGACTGCCGGCGCACGCCTCACAATAAAAATGGGATGCGTACTCATGCGTACTCACATTCGCTCCATTCAGACGGGTGCGGCCAGCCTTGGGAGCACGTGCCTCGAGGATGAGCTCTTCCAATCGCGCGCGATCAACTCTGCGGCTCCGCAGCGTGAATACGTCAGATACTTTCTTGCGAGACCATTGGGCTGTACCACACACTTTGTGAACGCCTGCCTTGTTTTTGCTGGCATCGCCAGAATTGAACTCAGCCGCTATGAGCACGCAGTTATCCACAGTGTAGCCTTCATGGTTATCCACACGCTCAAGGGATACTCGCCAATGGGAGTTCGGGAAAGCGCATTCCATCTCCACGCCAGAATAGAAGCACCTGCCCGACTGTTGGGAAAGCATGCGATGTATGCTGTCCACGGTTATATCGCAGAGTAGACCCCGAGCCCTCGATCTGTATTGCGCCTTGTATGCCAATGCAAAGACAGTACCACGCACTGAATGACTCCATTGTCGGAAAATTGTCGATGAACACTGCTTACAATAAGTGTGCCGTCCACTTTTCCGAGCGCGATTCTTCGGAAAATGACTGGCCGTCTTTCGCAAACCACACTTTGGGCATACCCGCTCCCCAACATCTTCGGAGACCACGCTGTCATGTTCTCGAAGTGAGCTGGCAAACTCAACTTCCTCGCGCGCTGACGCAATTGAGCGCGAATCTTCCACACTGCATGACTTTGGCGACGGATGCATCTCGTGTGGGCCTGTGTCCGCTGCAGTGCAGAGACGCCGGGCGTGCAAAGCAGCGCGGTCGGGGAATGCTCTCCGGGTGCAGCAGGCCGCTGGGCGCGCAAAGCGGCCAATCATCGTGACGGGCGGGGGGCGAAGCATACGCAAGAACTAACCTTAAACAAACTCGGCTCGAGTCGACTGGCTCTTGAGCCAAAATGGCTATGGATTGGCGCATCCCTGCTTTCCGAGGATGTTACAGGTGGAACTGCCATTTTTGAAGAAGTTCCGGACATTCGGCCAGCGATTTCGGCATCCACATTTTCCGAGGACGTCTCGGGCGAAACGCTCATGTCTAGCACAAGGCGTCTTGAGATACGACCCCAGAGATCGCGACCTGTAGAAGATGGCTCAAGCGACACGTCCTTTTTAGGAATCTGATCGCAACGAAACTCGAGTGCGCCCCGCGCGTTGCCCCTCCTGGACCTCCCCGGCTCATAAAAGATCCCTCTGGGCTGCAGATGCCCATCGCGCGACTCTCTGAGACTCAGCGCGCTTCCCGTCGTCCGACCAGTCGCGGACGGCAACCGAACCTCGCGCGTTCCCCCTCCTCCTGGACCTCCCCAGTTGATACGTGCATCCCTCTGGGCTGCAGACGCCCATCGCGCGACTCTCCGAGTCTAAGCACGCTTCTGGTTGCCCGCTCGCAGCCGGCCTCGAGTGCATAGCGCGCGTTTCCCCGTCCTGGACCTCCCCCAGTTGAGGAAAGATATCCCTCTGGGCTGCAGACGTCCATCGCGCGACTCCCGGAGTCTACGCGCGCTTCCAGTTGCCCGATCGCAGCCCACCTCGAATGCGCCCCGCGCGATCCCCGTCCTGGACCTCCCCCCACTTGATGACAGATATCCCTCAGGGTAGTCGACGTCCCTCGCGCGACGCTCTGCGTCTGAGCGCGCCGCTTCCCGTCAGCCGACCAGCCGCGGGCCTCGGTCCGAGCCCGCGCGTTCCCCCCCTCCTGGACCTCCCCAGCTGATAAAAAAAACCTCTGGGCACGCAAGCGTCCATCGCGCGGCTCTCTGAGTCTGAGCGCGCTTCCCGCCATTCGCCAGGAGCAGCTCCGAGCGCTTCCCCCCCCCTGGGCCCCCCCAGTTGAACAGATCTTCTCTTGCTTGACCCCCCCGGGCCGATAGCAACGTCCACCGCGCGACTCTTCGAGTCTGAGCGAGCTTCACGTCATCAGCCAGGTGCTGATCCAGGAGGTACCCCGAACCTTTCCCCTCGCTCTTGGTCTACACCAACGTTCATCACGCGACTCAAGACGGACCAGGAGGACCCCGAAGCGCCCAAATATCGGCCCAAGACGCCAAAGATGGCCGCAAGATAGCCCAATAGGCCTTCAAGACGCCCCAATATGCCTCCAAGAGGCCTCCCAAGAGAGCATCAAGAGGCAAAACCATTGATTTCCATCGGTGTTTGAAAGATTTTGGCGTTCTCGCCTTTTCGGCTTCCCGAGGCTCCAAGACGGACCAAGAGGCCCTCAAGACCACCCCAAAACGGCCCAAGAGGCCTCCAAAACGGCCCCGAGACGGCGGGAGCACGAACCGAAAATCCAAGCCTTCTTTCCGCCCCAAGAGGCGCCCAGGAGACCCCAAGAGGCGCCCAGGAGGCCCCAAGAGGCCCCCAAGAGGCCACCCAAAGACTCCAATATACCCACAAGAGGCCCGAAAGATTCCCCGAGAGGCCCCCAAACTGCCCCCCAGGGGCCTCCGAACTGCCTCCAAGAGGCCCCCGAGAGACCTCCCAAGAGATCCCAACGAACATCCAATAGACTTCATACCCAACCCAGGCGCGAAGGCCATTCGATATGATAGCCGCATTAGCGCACCATTGCGGCCTCTCGAGGGGATGCGCACGCAAAGAAACGGGCAGGAGGAGGGGGATGGGGAACGCGCAAGAGCACGATTGCTGACCGTGCAGCGAGCGGCGGGGGGGGGAGGCGGGACACGGAGCCTGTCGGCCCCCCCCCCCGTCCAGCTTCACTAGAGGCCTCCTAGATGGGGTCCGAGTAGATGGGGTCGAAGGATCGCGCCGCATCGCCGATATATGGGCGATGCATCGGCGATGCATCGGTGATGCACCACCGACGCATAGTCGACGTCGGCGATGAATCGGCGACGTCGGCGTGGAGAACATCGGGCTCCACATCGAGCCGCATCGCCGATGCATCGGCGATGCGGCGCGATCCTCCGACCCCATCTACTCCGACCCCATCTAGGAGGCCTAGATTCACAGGCATGTGCTCGTCGCCCGTGGGCCGGGGCACCCCACCCCTGGGCGAGCTGCCCTGGCCTTGTCGTACCGCTGCCGGAACTCGTCGCGCACGAACTGCTCCTGCCTGTCGAGCGCCTCGCGCACGCACGTGTAAGTCTTGGAGTTCCTCGGCGCACGCAGGAACTCGGGAGTACGGGCTCGCCATGGGGGGAGCGTGGGAGGAGGTGGAGGTAAAATCACACCGTCTGGTGATTATTGGGCTTTGTGCGCCTGGGAAAGTATAGAAAAGTCTCGAAGGGTATATGGACATGCCCGATATTCGAATGATGTGATGTGTTGCCGACGACGATGGTTCGACTTCTTTCACGCGCAATAGCTACGCTCTTCAGTGCCTCGCGTGCGGAATCATGTTGCCCAGCACCGCGCGCGACCAAGCGTGTGGAACGGGGATGGCTGGCACAGCATCGATTATCTAATACCTGACTTGGCCGTGATGGGCTTGGGCGGTTGAGCGGAAGCCTGACTATTCCATTTAATAATTCTGGAAGAAACGCAATGGTAGTACGGGCACAGGCCTACGGGCGAAGGACTATGTGCCGGAGGGCTACAACAAGAGGAGCCACACGGCCGACATGTAGATACAGAAAACGGCCCTACATGTGGCGCGACATCAACACAATATTATAAGCATGCGCGAAAGATGATGCCTTACTGAACGCATGCTCTCCGCAATGGTACTTACGCCGAACATGTTTTGAGCATGTTGTTCAGGGCACGGCGCCCTCTCAAGACTTTCCTGTGGCACCGCGCCTACGTTCCAGTCGGCGCGACAACCCCCATAGGTGGCCCAAGACGCCCCCAAAAAGCTCCACGAGGCCCCTAAGAAATCCCCAAGAGGCCCCCAAGAGGCCTCCAAGACGGCCTTCGATGCACCTGCCAGCGCCAAGCGCTCATTGCAATCGCCGCCGCATGGGTTTTGCAAACCAAATTGCGGGTGGGCGGGCGGGGTGGTTGCGGGGGCAATGGGGTTGACAACCCCAGGTGTTCGAACATCACTTTCGCCGCGCAAGATGCACCACATAGGTTGCGCAACATGAATTGTACAAGTGTACATAATAAACGGCACAACCCCAATTCCCCACTGATAGTACACAATGCATCTGGTTCTGTCTGCCGTTCACCTTACATATGACGTCATGCCGTCAAAAACAGTCCCCTTTATCGCCGCCCTTCGCAATCGTTTACCAAACGTAAATAGACTCCGCCGACCCGATGGGGTCACGGCGTGTGAGATGCTTCCCCCTCCCCAAACCCCTCCCCTGGGGGCCTGGTCCGGCCGGTTTGGAGGGGGGGAGAGGAGGGGGGGGGGGGGGGGGCAAATCCATCATCCGCACACTTGGAGCCTCAGGAGGCCCCAAAACGGGCCAAAAAGTTTCCAAAGGTTCCCTGGACGGTCCAAGAGAGCTACGAATCGACGAGAGATCGCCCCAAAACGCAGAAAATTGCCTCCACAAGGCTCCATGAGTCCCCAAGACGTTTGAAACAATATTACGAGGCGCCCCAAAGAGGCCCTCCAGAAGCAAGAATCGTCCCATTCACTAGGGAAAACGTGCATTTTCACCACATTCGCCCATTCGGCTTCCACGCGGCGCAAAACGGCCCAAGAAGCCTCCAAAAACGACCCTCGCCAGCCCAACAGGCTCCCAAAAAGGCTCCAAGACGGCGTCCAGGCGATCCACGAAGGCCCCAGAAACCATAGCAACGGCCCAGGAAAGCCGCAGGACGGTCCCGAGAGGGTTCCAAAACGAAGCAAGAGGGCCCCCAAAGGCTGTCCAGACGGCCCGCGTGGGGGACGATTCGGTCCAAACCGCTCAAGATCGTCGCCAGACGGCCCCATGGGTGTCCAAGACGTTTGAAAACGCGACGACGAAGCGCTCCAAGAAGGCCTCCAGAAGCAAAAACCGTCCCATTCCCCATGTAAGACTTACATGTTCAGCACATTCGCTACTTGGGCTTTCACGAGACCCACGACGGCCCAATAAACCTCCAGAGTCGACCCTTGTCACCCGAACAGGCTCCCAAGAAGGCTCCAAGACGGCTTCCGGGCGATGCACGAAGGATCAAGAAACCATAGCAACGGCACAAGAAAGCCGCAAGACGGTCCCAAGACGGCCCCAAAACGGGCCGAGAGGGCTCCCAAAGGCTGTCCGGACGGCCCACGCGGGGGACGATTCGGTCCAAACCGCCCAAGATTCCCTCCAGACAGCCCCATGGGCGTCCAGGACGTTTGCATACGCGACCACGAGGCGCTCCAAGCAGGACTCCAGAAGCAAAAACCGCCCCATTCCCAAGGAAAACATACATTTCAGCACATTCGCTTCATGGGCTTCCACGAAGCCCATAACGGCCCAGTAAACCTCCAAGATCGACCTCTGGCACCCCATGAGGCTCTCCAAAAGGCTCCACGACGGCCTCCCGGCGCCCCACGAACGCCCCACGAACGCCCCAGAAACCATAGCAACGGCCGGGGGGGACGGCAGGACGGTCCTAAGAGGTCTCCAAAACGTGTCTAGAGGGGCCTCACAGGCTGTCCGGACAGGCCACGCGGGGGACGATTGATGCCGCCCCAATGGATCAAGAAATCCTGCAACATATGAAACAACATCTACGCGCGCGCGTCGCCACGCGCATGTCGAAGTCCGCCAGAATTCCAGATTTCAACATCTGCTGTCCCGAACACCGATGAACACATACAGGGATTTTCTCCATTAGAAATGACAATACACAGAGGCCGTCGTTTGTGTCCCAACTTGTTCGTCAAATTAGACCGTGCGGGCTTTTCGCGCGCGCATGTCGGAATCAGTCGAACGCCCGTGCGCGATTGCTGGGGGCGCACGGTCCCTGTCAAAACCGCAGCGTGCTGGCCACTCGCGCGCGTCGGCCGCGCGCGCGCATGTCGAAATCCCCCCACAAAGATTTCATCAACGACGCGTGGACACCATCGCCCTTAGAGGCGTGACCAGCATCGGCGCCGTCATTGGCCGTGCCGTCGCCATCGTCGGCATTATCGTCACCATCCTCGTTAATTGCGATCATCATCTCCATCATGATTTCTGCCGCTGTCGACGTCACCATGACGCCGTGCCCAGACAGAACTGCCCGCGAACAAGCGCGGCCTGTGAGACGCGCAAGGAAGGTCCCATCGATCAGCGCCACCGCGGCCGCGTCGGCTGTGCCGAACTAGCTGTCCGCTGAACGCGCGAGCTTGTGCGCGACAGCGCGGCCGCAAAGATGTGCCACCCAGCGTCGAACAATCGCCGAAATCGCCGCCGCATGGACTTTGCAAACCAAGTTGCGGATGCTTACCGGTTCTTTTCCGTATTGCAACGTACTTGGGACTCTGCCCCATCGTCCATCCTTCATCCCAACCAAACTGGTAATGGTTTACCCCGTCATCCCCCGCAGAAAATAATATGCGCGCGCACCCGTTCTTTGAAATCAGCCGTTTTCACAAACACCTCGCAAACACAAAAACGAAATGTACACGCGCGAGTCGTCGCGCGAGCAAGCCGAAATCGTTCCAAAACCTTGGGTGTCGTGAGGATGTCAAAATCGAAAATCCCGAAAACATCTTTGAAACAAGCATGGTTTCGTAACACGCATGTTCAAGAACGTTTGCGCTCGCGCTCTTGCGAACGAGCTCTTAAGAAATCCATAAATTGTTGTTCCACCGGTTTATAAAATGCTACCAAATCGGCCTCTCGCGCGCGCATGTCGAAATCGTTCGAACGCCCTTGCGCTCGTGTTGTCGCAATATTTTTTCAAAACAAAAAAAAACGGGACGAAGCGCACGTGTGCGCGTCGTCGCGCGCGCATGCCCGAATCAATCAAAAACCTGTCTGTGGTTGAGCCAGGCTTTCAAGATCCAGTACGCGAAAACATGTAAAAACATATGTGCAACATCCGCGTTCCGAGCGCACGTTCGAATTTCCAATAAAACCATAGGCTGTTCAATGTCCACCAAGTTCGGCGATACGGGCCTTTCGCGCCGGATGTCGACATCATTCCAACGCCCTTGCGCGCGTGCTGGGGGGGGGGGACGGCCCGTGTCAAATAATGTCATGTGGGCCACTCTCGCGCGTCGGCCGCGCGCGCGTGTCGAACTCCCTCCAAAACCTTCATCACCGACCCCACGGCGCCGTCATCGTCGTCGGCGTGATCAGCATCGGCGCCGTCACTGGCCGTGCTGTCGCCGTTGTTATCATCGCCACCAGCGTCGTTACTATCATCATCGTGTATACAGTTGTCGACGTTGCCATGATACCGCGCCTGGCCAAGTGGCCAATTCGCACTGAAGTGCCCGCTGGGAAGTATCCAGAGGTCAGCACCACCACGGGTGCGTCGGTCGCGCCGAACTACCTGGCCGCGGCGCGCGCGAGCATGCGCGGGCTAGCGCGGCCGCAGAGATGCACCAGCCAACGCCAAGCCCCCATCGCAATCGCCACCGCATGTGTTTTGCAGAACAAGTTGCAGGTGAGTGGGTGGGTGGGATGATTACGCGAGCAATGGAATTGACAACTGCGAGTTCCACAGGTAGATTGCAAACAACAGATTGCTGCACACAAGTTGCACAACATAAAATGTACCACGCACCTTGCGCCACACACACATTATTATATAGATCTGTTTTGCGCCACCTAAATTGCGCCACATATCTCGCACAACAAATATTCCACACTCACCTGTATTTTGGCACTGGTATCGATCAGCAGTTCCGCAGGCTTTGGCGCGCTTTTAGCGGTTTTGCTTCTCGGGCTTCCGATATTCCAAGACAGCTCTGGGGGCCGATAGACCCAAGATGGCCCAAGAACCCCCCACGAGGGCCCCAGGACAGCTCATGAGTGCCCCAAGGCGACCCAAAAGGCCCCAAAGACAGCCCCAAGACGGCCCAAGCGGGCTTCAAGACGGCCCAAGAAACCCCCAGAGCAGCCCTTGGAGGGCCCAAGGGGGCACCAATAAGACAGCGCAGAGAGGCCCCCTATACGGCCTCCGACGGCGCCAGATGGTGCAGGAGTGACAGTAGACGGCCCGAGACGTCCCCAAGATGCAACAGGTGGGACCAGTCAGTCAGCCAGCCAAGCAGTCTGTCAGTCCGATACTGGTCGACAGACAAATACGGGCTGCGCCCGGAAAGAGAGGAGGCTGGTTGGTTCCACTGGTAGCATACGTCGATCTTGTTCAGCGCGATGACGAAAGGGCACTTTCGCTTCTTCAACAGCTCCTGCACGCACATCGTTTGACAGGTCCATCCCCCCCGCCTCCCAACACTACCTCCCACTTCCCAGCTGCCCCCCTCGTCCATCCCACCTCCCCACACGGCGCGAACCTCAGCGAACCTCAGGGAACCCGATCGGTCCTCAACGAACCCCAACGACCATAGCCAACCTCAGCGAATCAGTGCGACGCAAAACGGCTCCTTCCCCCCTCTCTCCTTCCCCGCCTGGACTTCCCTCCCCTCTCGTTGGCGAAGCGTGCCTGCAGTCTGTCATCCTCCTGATCTATCTTCCTTCTCCTCCTTACCCTCTCGGCTGCCCACCCTTTTCCTCCTCTTCCTCCCTCACTCCAGTTGATCTGCTCCTCCTCCTCCTCCTCCTCCTCCTCCTCCTCCTCCTCCTCCTCCCCCCCGTCTTCCTCAAACCTCCTCCTCATCCTCCTTTTAGTCCTCCTCCTCGTCCTCCTTTTACTCTCTCCTCCATACCTTTTCCTTTGCATAACTTTTCCCTGTCGCACCCCGAGGCCAATTCTTAGGGCGGGCCGGGCGTTTCGCCTGAGATTTCCTCACCTTTTACGATTCTGAAGCTTAACAAATGGCAACACTTAACATTTGGAGGGCGGGTCGTTTTCAAACTGTGGCTCTCGCCTTCGCGCCGCGCACACTCGTTTATATATATATATATATATATTAACTAATCAAGAATAAGAATAACATTAATAATGATAAGAAGAACAACAATAACACTACGAACAACCATATGTATGTTAAACCACAAATTCGCGGGTTGAGGGCGGATAGTTTTCAAAATGTGGCGCCCGCCTCAGCGCCGCGCACATTCACGTTGAACATTTGCCACAGCTTCACGGGTTGAGGGCGGGTAGTTTTCAAAATGTGGTTCTCGCCCCAGCGCCGTGCACATTCGTTTTTTTTAATTGGCAAGAGCTTCGCGGATTGAGGGCGGGTCGTTTGCAAATTCGTTGTCAAACACCGCAAAAGCTTCACGGATTGAAAGCAGTTCCTTTTCAAAATGTGGCTCACGTCTTCGCGTCGCGAACAATCGTTTTGAATATTTGCAAGAACTTCACGTATTGAGGGCGGGTGGTCTTCAAAATGTAGTTCGTGCCGTAGCGCCGCGCACATTCGTTCTAAAGAATGCAAGGGCTTCGCGGATCGAGGGCGGCTCCTTTTCAAAATGTGGCTCTCGCCTTAGCGCCGCGAATATTCGCTTGAAGACCTTGCCAAAATTTCACGGATTCCCATGGTCAACGTACCAGAAGTGGTGTTTGGGAAAGATTCACGACCATGCGGGTGCAATAGTTATGTTGACTCGGGGTGTTGAAATTCCAATAATGGCGTTTTGGCGCGATTCCAGATCGTCAAAACGAGACGCAGCAGTCCGGTTGATCCGTGGCATGGACTTCCTGAGAACAATGTTCCGGCATGCTTCAAGGTCTTCAAAGGGCTGTCTTCCAACGATGCAATTCCTTCAACAGAAATGAACCGTTGTATGGGGCTTATGAAAAGGAAGCTTGGATGGAGCGCTAAATCCCAACATCGTTGATGACTCTTGGGTTAACACTCGTACTCCTCCTCCTCCTCCTCCTCCTCCTCCTCCTCTTCCTCCTCGTCCTTCTCCTTTTCCCTTTCCCCATTCACATGCCGCATTGTCCCCCTCCCCCTCCCCCTCCTTCCTCCTGGTCCTCCTCCTTTTCCCTCCTCCTCCGCCGCCTCCTCCCCGCCCCTTTGCCCCCATCCAAAGACATCCTCCTCCTCCGCCTCCTCCTCCTCCTCTTCCTCTGCGCCCGCGTCGTCGTATATCCACTTTCACGTTGATTACTTCACGTCGTTGCAGCACCAAGCGTGTCGGCAGGGAGGTCTGGCCACACCGCAAAATAATGTTTCACAAGCTACTGCCATGAAGCATTTCCACCATCTGCACGGCTGTATGGCTGCACAATTGCGACATCGTGTTACCGCCTTAGACGCACGAGCGAATGCAATAGGCCGCGCGTAGACGGCGCATCGGCAAGAAACCACTCGACGTCAACAACAACAAACTAATACATGTGAAAGTGGAAACGCGCTGGTACGGACATTGTACACAAACCAGCGTTTGGCGACGGATGGCAACGCAATCTCACGGAGCACATGCAAGGGGCGAAGGAGAGGGAAGGGGCGGGGAGAAGAGGAAAGAAAGGGGAAGGGCAGGCGAAATGATCAAATGGTTATCAAAACTTCGCGGCACTAGCGTCCCATGCTGCGCTATGTTCAGGGCGCGTACATGCACATAGTTTCCCCGCTGAAGTCGGGAGCGCCCTCGTCTGCGAAGAATATCCCACCTCCTGGGTACGACGCTGTGCAACTGCCCCTGTTGGAATATCCTCTTCTTCAGGCGTGTATTCAGAGGGCCCGAGCGAGTTTACCATAGTAGATAAGCTGCCATTCGCTTTGTGCGTACGAAAACAAAAAGAAGGAACACACAACGTGGACAGGCGTTGCGCGCCAGATCTAAACATCACTCTGGCGTTGCTCACGCGCGAGATAGCCGAAGATATGGTGAGGACTCGTCTGGGGAACCTTGTTTGGAAACTGCTCGGCCTCACCAGGCCCCGTGATAGCATGACGCACGCTTGTATAAAGCATGCGCTATATTCGAAATTTCCGTTGCGGGCATACGTTCGCACGGCTCCAAACACTGCAGAACTTCTGACAAATAATCGGTTCGCCCAGCCGCCTTGTGAGCGCAGCCCGCGCCTCCAATCGGCGGCATTGGGCTTGGTTTGAACAAGGTCCCCACCTGGCACGAATACTTCAGCATTGCAACTGATATGTCGTAAGCTTTTGTCCTTGAGAGCGTCTGGGCCTTTTGCTAGGAGCGTCGTGCCGTCAGCGTTGAAAAATTCGTCTGTGACGCGATGTTCTCGATGTTGCGCCATGCGCGTATATTGACAAACATTGTGGCAACGGGCAGCCCTGTGCGATACCAACTCGTTGGGCGCGTTAGTAAATATCTGCATCAGCCTATCTTTTACGACGGGAATACGTGAATTTGACGCAGACTTTACCATGTCCAACATGTCCCAAGGAATCCCAAACTCTCGTAGAGCGTGAGGCGACCAATTGCGTTGTTTCAATCCGATAGTGAGATCTCAGATTTCCGGGTCTTGTCCCCCAAAATGGAATCAATGTGGCGACGCTCCACAAATAATGTGCACGTCGTACCACGGCGTGGTCGGCATTCACATTCGATTCTCGTAGTCGGCGTTCAACGCAAGCATCCATGGTTGAACCTAGTATACAAAAATCTCCGTCACTGTGCCCCTTGCTCAACCCTTGGGCTTAGGTCTTCATTCCAGAAGAATTCTTTAAGGGCCCGGACCCCAAATCCTCAAAGTCTCCTGGGGGTTGCAGCGTGCCCTCTGGGGCGCGTCACGTGGTGGGGACTGTTCCCGCACGCCTCTTTCGGAGCCAAGAAGGCCCCAAGAGGCCGCCCACACGGTTCAAGGGCACGGCCCAAGAAGCCTTGAAGATGTTTTTGGGGTTCTCCACTTTTCGAGCTGCCGACACTCTCAGACGACCCAAGAGGCACTGCATACCGCACCCAGACGGCCCCAAAGGCCCCCAACAGGACCCCAACACGGCCCGAGAGGGCCGTGAGACGGCCAAACGGCGCCCAAGACGGCCGAACAGGGCCCCAAGACGGCCCCAAAAGGGGGCCCAGAGGGGGAACACGAACCGAAATTCAACCTTCCGCCCCAAAAGGCACCCAAGAGACATAAGAGGCCCCCAATACGCCCCCAAGAGGCCCCCACGAGGCCGCCACGACGCCCCCAAGAGCCCCCTAAGAGGCCCCAACACAGCCCCCTTCAGGCTTCAATAACTGCCACCGGGAGGCCCCGGAGAAGCCTCCACGACATCCCAACGAATATCCGAGAGGCCTCAGAACCTACAACCGCGGCACGGGCGGGATGGGCCGAGGGCCATAAGATACTTGCCAATAGTCTGCACACAGCTGCAGGAAGAGATGTTGGTCTGCAGCTCCCAGCTGTGAGATATCACATGTGTTGGCACTGGAGCGAAACAATTTCCAACAGTCTTTCTGGTATCAGTTTCGGCTTCCAGCAATTGTCGCGATGATCCCGGGGAATATCTGAAACACCGCTGCTCGACCAGAGCATGCGCCATGACTCGGGAGGTAGCTCATGTTTCCTGAAGTTGTCTGGGCCCGCACGAGTGTTGCTCCCCAGCGCACTTCCTCAAAATAATGCTCCCTGCTGACGTCCAACGAACCACCATTATGCTGTATTTCTGGTAGTGCTCCAGGTCCCTCCCAGAAATTCCGTTGCACGTGTTCCAAAGTATCCGCCGTTGTTTGGGCCTTTGCTTCAGAAGCCCACCAAGTACCTTCAAGATGCCGTGGACGCCCATGCTATGGAGGCCAGCTTTTCCATAAGGCTGGAGTTACCTCCAGAACATCTTGCAATATTCTTGGTTTGCTCTAGCAGAGACACCGTTGTTGAAGAAATCGACGGTTTGCGTGGCCTAGCTCAAAATAACGGATCGTGTCCTGTGGCAGTTTTCGGCATACATGCAGCAAAACTCTACGCTTTCTCTTGCAGCGTAGTTCCATGTGCTGTTCCCCAACTGTGGAAATGAGGCTGTCAGTGCAGTTTCATGTCATTGCCGAGTATCAAATATTGAGTCGTATCGAGCTGGCCGCGGAGGGGGTCGGTCCATCTATCGATGTCCAGGTCAATGCTGCATAACACGTGATGCGACTGTAGAGCTCTGGCGCGGTCGGTCTAAGTTCTCGGTGAGCGTGAATCCATTTCTGGTCGACCACGTGGATCAGCTGCTTGAAGCTCCCTGGTCGAATGGTGTCCGTGGGGCGCGTGCCAGCACCAAGATATCATATAGTTGACTCCATTTGGACACCGGAAAGCGTATTGGCGAGGCATACGTCCGCCGCAATGCATAGTTCAACCACCAAGTCCCTGTTTGACGTAAGATTCCAACGACCCACACTGTCTTGGAATACGTACGCTTCCGCAACATCGCCCCCTCCAGAAAATCGTTGCGAGGGCGGCATACCATCTTGCTCACACGCCCAATCGCAAGCTGTGGCAACCCCATCGGTAACCCTCCATTCTTTGTTGTATGGGTCTGGGCACGCACGTGCCACTTGTATTACTAGTTTGCGCGCGGGGCGGTCTTCGGTGGTCCCCAGACGAAGAGCACCTTGGGCAGGTCGGGCGTCATAGATACAGAAATTCCCTGGCACGGGCGCCACAGTTCCTAAAGGATCTCCAACGGCCCTGAGACGGCTCAAGAGCACTCCAAGACAGCCCAAGACGAGCTTAAGACGGCCCAAGAGGCCCCGAAGGCGGCCTCAGAGGGCCCGAAGACACAACAATGACTGATCTCCCTTTGGTTCTTGAAAGGTTTTAGCGTTCTCGTTTGTCTGGGCTTCTGGCAGCCCAAGACGACCAAGACAGCCCCAGACGTTTCCCAAAAGAGCCCAAAGACGGACCACGTGGGCCCCAAGACTACAGTACAACCCCCCCAAGACGGCCCAAGAGGCCCCCAAGAGGCCCCCAAGACGGCCCCGAGAACCCCTCAGCCGGCCCGAAGAGGCACCAATATATAGACCCCCAAGAAGCCCCCAGCATGTACCCAGAGGTTCCATCAAGAGGCCCCCACAGGAAGCCACCAGGAGGCCTACCATCAGCTGTCAAAAGAGGCCGAGAGGCATCCCAAGAGGCATCCCAAGAGGCATCCGACACGCCTCTGACGCACGACCCAGGCAAGGCAGCATGCTGAACTGGCCGAGCTTCGGTGGGAGGGTAGTCTGTCGGATGCTGCCTCGGGGCCTCGAAGCTACCCTGCCACTCCTTCCCCCCCACCAACGAGGTCCGCGCGACGGCTCAGGGATGCGACCGCCACCCACCACATTCTCAGCCCCTGCGAACATGCTGACAAGTGCCAGCAGTGAGTCATACAGTGTTCGGCCATACGCAAGAGTGACGCCAGGACAGAGTAACCTACCTTTCCTTTAGTGCGCGGCCAAGGGCGGCCCTTCGGGAACACCACCAGGCGCGAAAGCCGCTGGTATCGCATCACATTCAGCGATCGGGGGGCCCATTGGGCCCGCACCAATGGTCACTCCGGCGAAAAGTCATTGTTACGTGTAGCCGAATGGTACCGATACCGCGACTCCCCCGACCTCTCCCAGGGTGCGTTCTGACCAGAACTGCAAGGCGAATCCAGCAGTGGCGACGAGGGCCTCCCAGGAGGCCCCCAAAAGAGCAAAACGGGCGAAGGCAAGAGGCCAGAGGTATGGGCACCTGGACCTCCTCTGAGCCGTGACTCATACATCGGGAGCGGCCAAGAGGGGTGTCCAAGAGGGGGGGGTGCAAATCATGACCGGCGGCATGTGCGCGGCCCAGCGGGGGGGCCAGGAACGTAATGAAAGAAGAGGAGGCGCCATGAAATCTGGGGAGATATCAGGGCCCCCGCCATGATATCCCCCCCCCCCCTAGTCGTCACCCCCCTCTTTTCCGCCCCCGAATACAGCGTGGGCCGTCGGAGTATGCAGAGCGATCGCGCAACTCCTGCCCCCGACCGGGCAGGCACTTTTGAGCGGCAGCGCCAGCGAGCCTCCTCCTCCTCCTCCTCCTTCTCCTCCCCCCTCCTCCTCCTCCTCCTCCTCCTCCTCCTCCTCCTCCCTCTCCTCCTCCCTCCTCCTCCCTCCTCCTCCTCCTCCTCCTCCTCTCTCCTCCTCCTCCTCCTCCTCCTCCTCCCCCCTCGGCGAGCGTCTGTGCGGGAGCGGCGGGCCGCGCTGGCCGCTGGCGCACCGGAGCGGGCGGAAGGGCGGAGCGCGGCCGCGGACGCGGGGGGCGGCGAGGGAGGTCCGGCCGCCGAGAAAGCCGACGGGGCGGGCGCGCGCAGGCAGCCCCAGGCAGGACTGGCCGGGCAGGCGCGGAGAGCAGACAGGGAGGGAGGCGAGGGAAGAACGAGGTGGACGGGAGAGGGAGGGAAGGGAGGGAGGGGGAGGGGAGGGAGGGCGGGGAGGGAGAGCGAGGGAAGTGCGGGAAGGGACGGAGGGAGGGAGGGAAGGGTCCCTTGGGGTGCCCGTCCTCCCTGGAGGGGGGGAGCCCCAGGAGCCGAGGCGCGGGAGGGAGGGAAGGGAGGGGAGGGGAGGGAAGGGAGGGGAGGGAGGGAAGGATGGGGGAGGAAAGGAGGAAAAGCGAGGGAAGGGAGGGAGGGAACGAGGAGGCAATGGCCCTCCTTCTCCTGACAGGGGACGAGCCCTGGCCGTCTGCCCCCCCCAGGGTGCTCCAGCGACTCGACCGTCTGCGGCTCGAGCCCGTGCATGATGTCGATCACAAGGATCGCCAGGTCGCACAGTGACGAGCCGCGCTTCCTCCCCGCCCGGCCCCCTCCTCAGCTGGCTGCTGTTCCTGGGAGAGGAGGAGGAGGAGGAGGAGGAGGAGGAGGAGGAGGAGGAGGAGAAGGATCAGTGTAAAGCCAAGAGGCATCAACGCTGTTGAAATCAACCCTCCCTCCAAGCTCCCTTACCATAGGCCCCTACAACGGCTCATTTCCATTAAGGGAACTGCCTCGTTGCAACCCTTTGCAGACCCTGAATCATGCCAAAACATTGTTCTCGGGATTCCAACGCCACGGATCACCCTCTGTTGTGTTTTGACGATCCCGAACCGTGCCAGAACGCCATTCCTGGGACTTGAACACCGCAAACTAACAGAACTTGGGCACCCTCATAAACCTGAATCCTTCCAAAACACAATTTCTGGTGCGTTCATCATGGGAGTCTGTGAAACTCTGCAATGTCTTTAAAACGAATGTGCGCGGCGCTGAAGTGAGGGCGACATGCTGAAAAAGATCCACCCTCAATCCGTGAAACGTTCGCACATGCTTAAAACGAATATGCGCGGCGCGAAGGCGAGAATCACATTTTGAAAAGGAACCGCCCTCAATCCGTGAAGCTTTCGCAGGTGCTTGAACGAAAGTGCGCGGCGCTAAATCGAAAACCACACTTTGAAAAGGAACGCCCTCAATACGTAAACGTTGCGCAAATGTTTCAAACGAATGTGCGCGGCGCTAAAGCAAGAACCACAGTCTGAAAAGAAACCGCCCTAAATCCGTGAAGCTTTTACACTGTGATAAAACGAATGTGCGCGGCGCTACGGCGGGAACCACATGTTGAAAAAGAGCCGCCCTCAATCCGTGAAACTCTTGAACCTGTTAAAGCTACTGTGCGCGACCCTAAGGCGAGAGCTACATGTTGAAAACGACACGCCATCAACTCGTGAAACTCTTGCAATGTTGTAAAACGAATGTGCGCAACCCCTACGGCGAGAGCCACATTTTGAAAACGAGCCGCCCTCCATATGTGAAGCTGCTGCCGATTTAAAAGCTTCAGAAGCATAAATGGTGAGGCAGTCTCATGCGAAACGCCCGGCCCGCCTTAAAACTGGCTTCGGGGTGCGACAGGGAACAGTTTTTCATAAGGGGAAGGAATGGATGAGGAGGAGGAGGAGGAGGAGGAGGAGGAGGAGGACGGGAAAAGGGAGGAGTAGGAGAAGGAGGAGTAGGAGGAGGAGGAGGAGGAGGAGGAGGAGGAGGAGGGGGAGGAGGAGGAGGAGGAGGAGGAGGAGGAGTGAAGGAGATGGGAGGCAGAAAGGGGGAGGTAGCGAGTTAAGGACGAACGGGGGGAGCGCAGAAGGGAAATGAGAAGGAGGACGGCCAGGAGATAAAGGAGATAAAGGGGGAACGGTGCGGCTGCTGCTTCTTCTGCTGCCGCTCATCCCCATCTCTTCCCTCCTTCGATCACCCGCCCTCGCCTCTTCTCTCCCTCTGCCAAGTGCTGTCCGGCAGGGTCTCTGCAAGGCTTCTGAGGCCCCCGCCCCCTCTCGACACGCTCAGGCGCGCACGCCGGCTCCCCTCTCGAGGCTCCCCGTGCCGCGCTGGCGCCCGCATTGTGGCTCTCCAGATCTGCTCAAGGCTTGCAAGAAGGCCACGGAAGGCCGCGATGGCTGCCAAGATGGCTCAACAGCGCCGCAAGAGGCACCCGACGGCTCCCAAGGAGCGCCGAAGCCTGCAAGAGGCCCCAGGAGGACCTCGAAAAAACAACGACATGGATGTTCCACGATACGTGTCCATATGTTCCCGCTTTCTATGCGCTTCGGTCGAAGATCGGTCAACTTGCGGTCTGCGAAGGCGTTACGATTGCCGGCTGACAGCTCCAAGAGTGCTCCTGGATCTTAGACGGCCCAGGACGGCCCCAAGGGAGCCGCAGGCGGGCCCAAGATGGCCTCGTGAGAGACCGGAGACGGCATGAGAGGGCCCCTGAACGGTTCAGGGGGGGCAGGAGGAGGAGGAGGAGGAGGAGTAGGAGGAGGAGGAGGAGGAGGAGGGGGAGGAGGAGGAGGAGGAGGAGGAGGAGGAAAAGGAGGAGGAGGAGGAGGAGGAGGAGGAAAGGGAGGAGGGGGAGGAGGAGAGGGAGGAGGACAAGGCCCTCAGGATGGCGCCAGAGGGCCCCAAGGGGCCCCCAAGACTGGCCCACGGGAGCCCAATGCAGCCTCGCTGGCAGGGTAGGTGGCGGATGTGCCGCGGCAGCTGGACACCTCCAGTCTGCCCTCATCTTGACCTCCCTGCGTCCTCTCTGCTCGCGTCCCTCCTGCCCCCCCCACCCCCTTCTCCCTCGCCAGTCTGGCCTCCTTTGCTCTCTCTCCCTCCCGCCTGACCCGTCATATTCTTTCCATTCTGCTCACTGCCTCCCTCCTTCGCTCCCTTCCTCCCCCCCCCCTCGCTGCCCCATCTGTCCTCCCTCTTCCTGCCCCTCCCTCCCTCTTGTTCCGATGCCCGGCCCTGCCGCTCCACTCCCCCACTCGAGAATCAGACTGGCCCGCACCTCCCCTGCACTCCGGAGGTTGTTGAAGGACTCGTGGCCGGGGGTGTCGATCACCATGATGCCAGGTACTTCGAGGTCGAAGTTTGGATCGACCTCGACAACCGGGAGCGGGAATCCTCGAAGAGCCCAGTCTCACCAATTTCTACCTCGCCCCCTCCTTCCGACCCCATGAAGATAGGAGGGGCAGGCAGAAGAGCGCGTGTATCGATATGACTACTGATGTCTGCACAGGGGGGGGGGGGGGCGCGATTATGCTCTGAGCACTTGCGCGGGAGGCACGGGTGGGGTGGCTGGAGTGCCCGAGGGAGCGGAGGAGGGGAGAGCGGAAGTCCAGCACGGCGCGATCAATGCAGCGCGTCTGGGGCCGACGGGGCGGAAGGTCGAGCGCAGCGAGGTGCGCTCTCTGGATCTCGGACTGGACCACGGGCAGGGTGCCGCGAGAAAGCACTGCCGCGGCGGAGCGAGTGAGCCCAGGGAGTCCGATAATACCAGAGAGGGAGAGAGAAAGAGAGAGAGAGAGAGAGATAGAAGAAGAATAATAATAATAAGAAGAAAAATAAGCGCCAAAGGTGTATGTTTATGGCAGTTGTTAACAGTATTATTATTCGTATGTTCTTCTTCTTCTTCTTCGAGAGAGAGAGGGGGGGGTACACGTGGAGGACACATGACTGAGCGACGCCTTCTTTGTCTGCTCTTGCAGGGCGATGTCCGGGAAGAACGTGGCACCGATCTGCTGGGTGATGCCCCCGGCCTCGCCCTCCTGCACGTTCGTCCTCGGATAAAGAGATCAGGAAGACTGCATCAGCAAGAGCCGTGGGAGGGAGCAGCGACCTTCAGAAGCCCCGAGATGGGGTCCGAGTAGATGGGGTCGAAAGATCGCGCCGCATCGCCAATGCATCGCCGATGCATCGGCGATGCATCGGCAACGCCAGCGTGGAGGAAATCAGGCTCCCCATCGAGCCGCATCGCCGATGCATCGGCGATGCGGCTCGATCCTCCGACCCCATCTACTCCGACCCCATCTCGGAGGCCTAGAAGACTGCAGCAACAAAAGCCGTGCGAGGGAGCAGCGACCTTGGAGGCGGAACGGCGCGTAAGCATCCCGTGCAGATGCCAGGCGGCTGCAAGTCGCTGCTCGGTCCCAACGAGGTCGCCCCATCCTCAGCCCCCCACCTCCACCACCACTGGGAGCAGCCGAGCAGTAAATACCAAATATGATGGTGGGCCATCCCCGCCACTCGCCCGCAGAGAGGACGGTTGGCAGTGACAGACTGTCGGCCGGTCTGTTAGCCAGCGAGGGTGGAAGAAGTGGGGGACGAGTGAGTGTCGACGCATTGACCCGTGCAACCAGGTGGGGAGGCATCCACCAAGGGCAACAAACCATTGAGACTTCGGGTAAGGAAGAATGTATCATGAACCTACATTTCGTTAACTTCATGCGGCACGGCATCGAATTAAACAACCCACACGGCGCGAAACTCATGCCGAGATGTGTCCAACCACCCCGTGCTAAATCACGCAGGTGGTATATATATATATATATATATTATATATATATGTATATATATGTGTATATATCAAACAGGGCTGGGATATTGAAGATTACTTGGTTTGACGGGACAGGCGTGAAGACACACTATGCATACATATATATATATATATGTATATACATATGCGTATCAGAGTGAGGGGGCCGAACGGTCATTCACTGTCCCTGGGCGCGTGGCTGAATAGGGAATTTGTGGTGAGAATTCTGCTTGTTGCGTTGTTGAGCTTTCACTTCTGCAGAATAATTATTGCTGGTCCCCCCTCACCGGTGCATAATGGATTTTCTCAATCAAATTGTGGCCCTCGACGCTCGCACCCTGTTTTTTGACAGCGGAAGTCTTGGTGCTCAAACTGGGCCCCTGGATCCTTGGATTACAACAACAACGGCTCCCGCCTGAGATTTCCTCCAAATTTACACAGGACCCCCGCTCCTGAGATTTTCTCACAATTTACTCCGGATCGGTGCTCCCGCCTGTGACTTCCTCGCAATTTAGTCAGGACCCCCGCTCCCATCTGAGACTTCCTCACAATTTACGCCGTTCCTCCCGCTTGAGACTTCCTCACACTTGAACCAAGACTTCCTCGCAATTTAATCAAGACCCGCGCTCCCGCCAGAGAACCCTTCAAATTTTATTCCGGAATTGCGCTCTCGCCTGTGACTTCCATGCAATGTATTCAGACATCGCGCTTTCGACGCTCAGGAAAAACGCTGCGCCAAGGACGCCGTTACAATTTACTTAGTAAGCGCACTCTCGCCATACTCAGGCATCCCGCTTGAATGCCCCACACGCCCGACCCGTCCGTCAGGGGATCTCCCGTCCGTCGTGGGCTCCCGCCCGAGACTTCCTTCAGGAACGGCGCTTTCGCCCAGGACTTCCTCGAACGTTCACGCTCTTACCTTCCTGCTCCTCCTCCGTCTCCCTCCTCCCTCCTCCCTCCTCTCCTCCCTTCTCTCTCCCTCCTCTCTTCCCTCATCTTTATGCCTCTCTGCCCTATCCCCTCTCCCTCCTCTCCCTCCTCCCTTCTCCCTCTCCTCTCCTGCCTCCTCCCTCCCTCGTTCTTTCTCTCTCTCTCTCTCTCTCTCTCCCCTCTCTCTCTCTCTACCTCTCTTATATGTATTTCTCTCTCTCTCTCTCTCTTTCTCTCTGCCTCTAATCAACCGCCCCCCTCTTCGCTCCTTCTCTCCTGGCGTTTTCCCTCTTCCTTCGTCCCTCCCCCTCCCTTCCTCCCACTCTCCCTCGTTCTCCCCCTCCTCTTTTTGCAAGGCCCACACCACTTCCAATGGCGGGCACATGTACGCCCACGACGGATTGTCCGCCCATTCAGCTTTGCCCGCCTGTCTACGCCCGCCGCCACCCGCATAGAGAAATAATCCCCCCAAAGGGGGTGTGATCGAAGACAAAAAGGGGCGGGTATCGAGGGTGTGGGGAACTCGTTTTGAATGACACGCGGGCAAGTAAGAGCGAACAGTCTTAGAATGATTGTTGGTGGTGTTGTTGGTGCTGTTGTTGGTGTTGTTGGTGTTGTTGGTGTTGTTGTTGGTGTTGTTGTTGGTGGTGGTGTTGTTGGTGGTGTTGTTGTTGGTGTTGTTGTTGGTGCTGTTGTTGCTGGTGGTGGTGTTGCTGCTGTTATTATTGCTGTTGCTGTAGCTCTTGCTGGTGATGTAGTTGTTGGTGTTGCTGCTGTTGTTATTGGTGTTGTTGTTGGTGGTGTTGTTGTTTGTTGTCGTCGTCCCACCCGCGACCCACCCCGCGACCCGCCCCGCGACCCACTCTGCGACCCACTCTGCGACCCACCCCGCGACCCACCCCGCGACCCACCCCGCGACCCACCCGCGACCCAACTCGCGACCCACCCGCGACCCACCCCGCGACCCACCCGCGACCAACCTGCGATCCACCCCGCGACCCACCCGCGACCCAACCCGCGACCCATCCGGGACCCATCCGCGACACACCCGCGACCCACCCCGCGACCCACCCGCGACCCACCCCTCGACCCACTCTCAAAGGAGGAGAAACCACCCAGACCCGACAATTAGCGTTTACTCAACGGCCCTGTGCGTTTACTAAACAGCCCTGCCCTGTTCGATTCATTTCTTGTGTGCGTTAACTAAACGGCTTCGCTTGTCGGGGTGATTATTATGGGACGGATGTTCTGCCATCTACACCCGCGACCCACCCGCGACCCAACAGCGACCCACCCACCCGCGACCCATTTGCGACCCACCCGCGACCTACGTAGCAGCCCGCAATTGCGGATAAGAGTGAGGGGGCGGGCGCGGGCGACGCGGGCGTCGTCGAGCCGGCGGACCTCGTGGCCCCCACCTTCCCTGTCGATGGCGCTCTCCTCCTTCTCCTCCTCCTCCTCCTCCTCTTCCTCGTCCTCGTCCTCGTCCTCATCGTCATCGTCATCCTCCTCCTCCACCTCGTCGTCCTCCTCTTTTTCCTCGTCCTCCCTCTCCCCCCCTCGTCCTTTCACCATCGTCCTCCCATTGTCGTCCTCCCCCTCATCGGCCTCCATCATCGTCCTCCTCCCATTGTCGTCCATCATCATCATCATCCCATCATCATCATCATCATCCTCCTCATCATCGTCCTCCTCCTCCTCCTCCTCTCCTCCTCACTCCTCCCTCCTCCTCCTCCTCTCCTCCTCCTCCTCCTCTCCACTCCCCGCGGGGCTTGAAGAGGTCCTTCGGGCTCAGACGGCATGCTCGGCATTGGTTTGTTCAGTGAACGTGGTTTGGGTCGCGGGTGGGTCGCGGGCTCTCCACCTCCACCTGGAAGGAATGCAAAAGCAGCCCGCCGCAGGCGCCAAAAAAATTGGTTTGTACACTGAACGTGGTTTTGGTCGCGGGTGGGCCGCGGGTTCTCCACCGGGAGCGAATGCAAAAGATGCCCGCCGCAGGCGCCGAAAAATTTGGTTTGTACCCTGAACGTGGTCGCGGGTGGGCCGCGGGCACTCCACTTGAAACGACTGCAAAAGATGCCCGCCGCAGGCGCCGAAAAATGTGGTTTGTACCCTGAGCATGGTTTGGGTCGCGGGTTGGTCGCAAGTTGGTCACGGGGTGGGTCGCGGGCTCTCCACCTGGAAGGAATGCAAAAAAAACCCGCCGCAGGAGCCGAAAATAGTCGCGGGTGGGTCGCGGGGTGGGTCGCGGGTGGGTCGCGGGTGGGTCGCGGGTGGGTCGCGGGTGGGTCGCGGGTGGGTCGCGGGTGGGTCGCGAGTGGGTCGCGGGGTGGGCCGCGGGCGGGTCTCGGGGTGGGTCGCGGGTGGGTCGCGGGGTGGGTCGCGGGGTGGGTCGCGGGGTGGGTCGCGGGTCGCGGGTGGGTCGCGGGTGGGTCGCGGGGTGGGTCGCGGGATGGGTCGCGGGTTGCCGGCGTCCTCGGTTCTCCGAGCCAGAGTTCTCGCCGGGATTCGGGGCCCCAGGAGCCTCACAGTTCGGTGTGGCTCGCAAAAATTACGCAGAAAGGCCATCGCAGTGGCGGGCATGAGCTTGCAGCTTAGGGACAGGTCGGTCACTAGGATTACGACACCAGCGCAAGCCAAATTCACCACGGCTTCGACCTACTCAGCCTCAGCCTCAGCCTCAGCCTCAGCCTCAGCCTGCCTCAGCATCAGCCTCAGCCTCAGCCTCAGCCTCAGCCTGTCGCGGGTGGGTCGCGGGGCGGGTTGCGGGTGGGACGACGACAACAAACAACAAACAATTACACGAATCCGCACCGCGGAATTCCACTTCAGCCACGCACCCAGGGACAATGAATGACCGTTCGGCCCCCTCACTCTGACCCACATTGGTTTAGCGAAAAAATCGGCGCCTGCGGCGGGATCGTTGTACATAATGTGTGAAACTTTGGCGTCTGCGGCGGGTTTCTCCCGAGTCTCGCAAACTGCCGACGTCCCCGCCGCCACTTCACTCTTATCCGCATCTGCGGGGTGCTACGGCATATCTATATATATACACACACACACACACTAGAACCACGCGCGCGCTACGCCCGCGCGTAGGTTCTGGCATGCTCTAGTTGTAGACTCAAGTGTCGGGCATCAGAAGACATGTATTGTCACACTTACCGTGCCCTTCAGGGGGCTCCACCTGCGGCCCCAGAGATAGGCTTGGCTTAGCGTCCCCCCCGCCCATGTCGGCACACCCCTCACAGGGATCGCGCCCCACAGGGAGCGCCAGCTACGTCCCCAGAAGGTAAGGTTCGCATAGTGGCACGCCCCTCAGGCGGATCATGCCCCGCGAGTAACTGAATTTGTGCCACCAGAGGGAAGTTTCATAGCATCGCCCAGCTCGCTTCGGCACACCTCTCATACGGATCGCGGCCCGCAAAAAGGTCCATGGACGGCCCCAGAGACAAGGTTCGCATCCCACCCCCTCGCCTACTTCGGCACACCTCTCACACAGATCGTGGCCCACAAGGATCTACACCTACGGCCCCAGAGGCAGGGTTCGCACTGCGCCCCCCCCCCCCCCCCCCCGCCATTGCGGCACACCCCATCACGCGGATCGTGCCCACAAGGAGCACTACCTGAAGGCCCAGAGACAAGGTTCAGGCAGCGCCCCCCCGCCCATGTCGGCACACCCGTCAGGCGAATCATGCCCCAGAGGGAGCTCCACCTATGGCACCGATGGGCAGCTTCGCATGGCGTCCCCCCGCCCATTTCGGAACATGCCTCGCACGGGTCGGGCCCGGAGGAGTCCACCTGCGGCCTCAGTGGGCGTGTTCGCGGGGGGCATCCGAATGATTCGGCACACCCTTCACGCGGATCGTGCCCCACAAAGAATTCAGCGTACCCGTGCACGCGTGCTCCGCAAAGAATTCAGCGCACCCAGGAGGGAGGAGAGAGGAGAAAGGAGACAGGAGAGGAGAGGAGAGAGGAGAGGAGAGGAGAGGAGAGGAGAGGAGAGGAGAGGAGAGGAGAGGAGAGGAGATGCGACGCGGCGACTGTCTCTTCAAAACGAAGACCCAACTGCACAGGATGGTTAGGAAACACAAGCCAATGGTTTTCGACCTCCGAGGCGTGGGGCTGGGGGGAGGCAGGGCCAGCACCCTGCTCCACCGCCTCGGATCCCGAGAACCTCAGATGCTTGGTTCCTGTGGTAGTCTCACAAGTGTTTGTGCTTTTGTTGGGGGGAGGGGGGGGGTGTGTTTGTTTGTTGCTGTTGTTTGTTTTGTTTGTTTTGTTTGTTTGTTTGGGTGGAGTGTTTGTTGTTTTGGGGGAGTGATTTTTTTCGTGGCCCCAGGAAAACCTGTGACTACCATCGCACAAGCAATCCCTCCTCGGCCCGCCCTCCTCCCACCTCCCGCCTCGGATCCCGACAGAGCCTGTGGTGTTTGCTTCTGCGACGGTGGTCTCACGAGCCTCTCCTTGTTTGGTCGTGCCACAGGTTTCGTAGCCCAGAAGTTGGGAAACCTGTGACTGTCATTGGAAAGTCCGTCAAGTCCAACGGGAATACCATAACCCTTGTGAATCCCCCAATATTACCAAACAACTTCTTGCGAAGGAAATAACCCCCTCCTCCTCCACCCCTGTCTCAAGCCCTTTTTTCCCAACCATCCTGTGGTGTTGGGTCCTCGTTTTGAAGAGACGGTGCCCCGCGTTCCTCTCCTCTCCTCTCCTCTCCTCCTCTTCCCCCTCCTCCCTCGTGCCCGCGCCCGCATGCGTCAGCCACACCCATTTCGGCACACCCCTCACACGCTTCGTGGCTCCATAGGGAGCTCCACCGAAGGCCCCAGTGCCCGCGCCCGCATGCGTCACCCACACCCATTTCGGCACACCCCTCACACGTTTCGTGGCTCCATAGGGAGCTCCACCGAAGGCCCCAGTGCCCGCGCCCGCATGCGTCACCCACACCCATTTCGGCACACCCCTCACACGTTTCGTGGCTCCATAGGGAGCTCCGCCGAAGGCCCCAGTGCCCGCGCCCGCATGCGTCACCCACACCCATTTCGGCACACCCCTCACACGTTTCGTGGCCCCATAGGGAGCTCCACCGAAGGCCCCAGTGCTGCCGCCCGCATGCGTCACCACCCGCACCCAATTCGGCACACCCCTCACACGCTTCGTGGCCCCATAGAGAGCTGCACCGAAGGGCCCAGTGGCGGCGCTCACATGCGTC